TGTCTACCCCTTCGTATTAGGCCCGATATGTCTTTGTTCGCAATACTCCAGTCCTGGCCTCAAACAGTAGAGAACTACCACGAGTATTATCATAGATCCTTTCCTTGGTGATTCCTGCTTAAAAGTTCGATAAATCTCTGGTGCGGAATTCTTAATCATGCCAATTCTCCACATGTCAGTCTCCGTTTCCTTCTCTTTCTTAACCGATAGTTCTCTTTCCTTTGGCCACCTGCAGTTTTCTAAGTATTCACCAGTCAATTTCCTGGTTCACTTCCTCCATTTTGTATCGACATTCTTCATGTACAAGTAGCTGAATACCTTCCTAGCGCAACGCTCCTCCGCCATTTCTCTCAATCGCTTCTCGAATTCTATCTTGCTGCTAGCTTCCCTGCCGTCAAATGATGTCCATCCCATATCACCCTGTACTCCCTGATTTGGTGTATTCCCGTGAGCTCCTAAGGCAAGCCTACCTATTCCACGTTGCTTAATTTCTAATCTTGCTTGAACTTCTGATCTCATGCACAAGACCGCATTGCCGACGTGTCGACGCATTGCCGACCGCATTGCGTAGGTGGTCTGTGGCATTGCCGTGTGCCGACGTGCAAACGTGTGTCAGCGTCATCTGGTGGTTGCCTTCCAAGGCCTTACGTGCTAGCGAGCGCGTTTGTCACACTTCTCTATTCTAGCCCACGGTTGTAACTGGGCAGAGACTGCTGTGCCGCGAGGCGCATGAGCCCCCCCCCCCCCCCCCCACAGAAACGGCTGCTGCGCCGCACGGAAGTGACGTCATGCATTTTCCGGTTAGGCGCTTTCTTTGAATAGTCGGGAGTGTCTAGCGGGACGTCTAGACATAACGATCATCATCATCATCATCCTCATCATCATCATCATTATCAGCCTGACTACGTCCACTGCAGGACAAAGGCCTCTCCCATGTTCCGCCAGTTAACCCGGTCCTGTGCTTGCTGCTGCTGCCAATTTATACCTGCAAACTTCTTAATCTCATCTGCCCACCTAACCTTCTGTCTCCCCCTAACCCGCTTCCCTTCTCTGGGAATCCAGTAAATTACCCTTAATGACCAGCGGTTATCCTGTCTACGCGCTACATGCTCGGCCCATGTCCATTTCCTCTTCTGTATTTCAACTATGATATCCTTAACCCCCGTTTGTCCCCTAATCCACTCTGCTCTATTCTTGTCTCTTAAGGTTACACCTACCATTTTTCTTTTCATTGCTCGTTGCGTCGTCCTCAATTTAAGCTGAACCCTCTTTGTAAGTCTCCAGGTTTCTGCTCCGTAGCTAAGTACCGGCAAGATACAGCTGTTATATACCTTCTTCTTGAGGGATAGGGGCAATCTACCTGTCATAATGTGAGAGTGCTTGCCGAATGTGCTCCACCCCATTCTTATTCTTCTAGATACTTCAATCTCGTGGTTAGGCTCTGCGGTTATTACCTGCCCTAAGTAGACATAGTCTTTTACAAATTCAAGTGCACTTTTATCTATCTCGAAGCGCTGCTCCTTTCCGAGGTTGTTGTACATTACTTTCGTTTTCTGCAGATTAATTTTAAGACCCACCTTTCTGCTCTCCTTGTCTAACTCCGTAATCATGAGTTGCAATTCGTCCCCTGAGTTACTCAGCAATGCAATGTCATCGGCGAAGCGCAAGCTACTAAGGTATTCTCCATTAACTATTATCCCTAACTGTTCCCATTCTAGGCTTCTGAAAACCTCCTGTAAGCACGCGGTAAATAGCATTGGGGAGATTGTGTCCCCCTGCCTTACTCCCTTCTTGAATGGTATTCTGTTGCTTTCTTTATGAAGCACTATGGTAGCAGTTGATCCCCTGTAGATTTCTTCCAGAATGTTTATATATACTTCATCTACGCCCTGATTCCGCAGTGTCTGCATGACGGCTGATATTTCTACTAACGATAACAGACATAACGATAACAGCCGTTAAAATTACATCCAAACGAAAAAGTGAACAAAAATGTTAGGTTTAGCGTGACAACAATACAAAACCGGCTCGTTTGCAATCTCAAACATTAAGCGTAACAACAATACAAAACCGGCTTGTTTGCCATCTCAAACTGATCGGCAGCTGTGGCGTAGTTGGTTAAAGCAACACATCAACAGGTGAGGTCGGTGGTTCAAGTCCCATTGCAGTTATCGATACTTTCTCTTCTTTTTTTTCCTTCGTGCATGTATTGTTTTAACATTTGCGCCTCCTCATCAGCCCGACTTGCTGCTGGTGGTGGTCCCGTCCACAGGCCCTTTATTATTGGATCTTCGATGACTCTTGCACGATTGACTATATTTATTATGATAAAGTGTTTGGCGAATTAGTGCTCTTAATCGGCGAGACGCAAAAAGACACAAAAAACTCGAATGCAGCTGCATTCGAGTTTTTTGCTGCATTGGTTTCTTCGGCACAGGTGTCAGGAATGTTGATTTCCACGGTTTATCAAAGTTTTGATGACAGAAAGGTGCACTGCAACGTAGTCTCGGGCAACTTTTTTTTTATGTCGCTCAGTGTACCATCACCTGACGAGGTAACTGGCAGCCCGCTTTCTTTAAAAATACTGACTTGTCACCAATCTTATAGGCAATCAGCACTTGATAAACAATGCCCAAGGGCAAGTGCCGACGGCGTTTTCCCATCTAACTACAAAACAGCTTGTCTGCCTTGCTCAATAACACGCGCGGCCTATGACAGCGCGGGAGCATTCACATAGCAACGGATGAGAACGCCCGTACGTGTTCGCACTTGACAAAACAGACGGCAATGCAGTAGCTTTGGCCTTCGTAGATCACAGGCTTCGTAAGAACATTACAATAAAGTTGTTTCCATCCACCGTATGAACACTTCGCCGACGCACTGGTGTTTCATGCATGCGCGTCCCGTCAGTCACACGTGAACCGTGCGAAAGCATTTATTTCATCGTCGACCTTGTCCTTCGCGACAAGCAAAACTCGGCAGCAAGAACACTTTCACCTTTGACAACAGCACGCTTGGCATTGCAATCTAGAAAACGCAGTACGTCCAACAACTGTAATCCGCACATCATACTGAGAAACTTTATGGCGCACACACTCAGATGAAGCTGCGGTGCGGTGGACGGCCCCGCTAGCTCCAACCACCAGGTTCAACTAAGCATCCAGCAATCACATGAAGCAGCGACGACACTCCAGTCCTCCTTGGGAGTGGCCTAGATCATGGCCACGATTTCATCGGAGTTTTCACCACCTAACACATCGCCGGCGGCTACCGCAGAACACCTACGCGGCTACCATCTCGCAGTGTTTACCTTTCGCGGTCGCAGCGCCCATGGCACCCCCTGTATTTAAAATACTTGTATTTTGTATTTAAATAACAAACCTTGGTTAATTGGCTTGTTAAACATCTGCTTAGTAAAATTTTCGTAGGTTTAACGCATTACGTACGAATATTTTAAACATTTAACTAGCTTTAGGTAATAATTTTTAAAGTGACGTCACTTTCGTGCGGCGCAGGAGCCACTTTTGTGTCGGGCTGGCTATAGAGTTTCTCACAATACTTACTAGAGGGAACTCTGGCGCTAGTGTCTTAGGTAGCTGCAACACACAGCGCTTCACCGAGCATGGGAATGATGGGTAGTACACACATTTATGGGTGCGACTGTTCTCACAACAAATCCGTGCAGGGCGGGGCCTCGCCGCGATGACGTAGCCACCATTTTCTTTTTCTTTTTTCTCTCTGTCTCTCTCTCCGTTTGACGGCGCGGTACGTGGTCGACGCGGTCGCTGTGGTGGCGTGCACTCCACGTGAGCGAGAAGCGTGCAATGTCTTGTTAAGTGGCCGGAAAATCGGAACGCAACGATGAATGAGCCTCCTGACCGACAGAAGGTGATCGAAAAGTACCTCCAAGAATTACGTCATGACGACGGCTACTCTCACGGCTACCTGAAGGCAGACGAAGAGCTAAAGCTTTTCGAGAGGTCCCTGGCTGCCGTCAACGACAGGTATGCTGTGCGGACATCAAGAGACCAGAGCAAGTCGTCTAAATGTGAGGATGTCTCGATTGCTTCTTAATGTATTGATCTGCGCGTAGATCTAGCATTGAAACACGCAGTAGTAGTTTAAACCAGCTAGGGACACGGCAGGACAGGCTTCTTCTCAGTTGCGGTTATTGGTTTTCGCCTTTTTGAAGTTAGGGTTAGGTATCATTGTTTTCGTTACCGGTTCGAAGTTCCCCTGGAACCGATTCATTTCGGTGTGAGTGAAGTATTGTTTGGATTACCGGGACATGACCCGATCTTCAGAGATTCTATAAACGTTATTGGAGCTGTAATTGGCGCCTTGTCTTTGTCTGCGTGTTTTTTTTTTGTCCCTGTTGCTTAGCGCCCCAAATTATTCAGTTGTAACGGAACTGTATTTTTTTTGGTTTTAGTAATGATTAGCACCGCGCTAGCAAGCTAATTGTGACACGGCCGTGCGTGCCATCCGTGGTCCTCCAGGAAGTGTGAATTAGACGTCTAGAGCAAGGCGGGCCTGATGTTGAACGCTGTATATGAGAAGCTGAAGGGTCAGGGTCGAGATTTTTCGCCCAATTATATTAAAATCTTAAGGCCCAACCAAACTGTAACGTGTTGGTGCTTCTTGTAAGTTGTAACTTAAAAACTGCATAAAAAGTCTGCGTAATTATTAATAATAATAATGATAATTATATGTATTATTCTGGTTGACGAAAGCCAGAATTTCTTGCCAGAGGCAGCGCATCTAAAGTTTTTTTGCTGCTATTACACAAAAACTAAAACAAGATTTGATATTACCCTCTGCCATGCATAAAACTAGGTGCCTTCATTAAATCATCTTTATTGTTTATTTTCAGCCAATGTCGTCTTCTCCATGACCCACTGCGGATCTCGAATCTCTCTGGACAATGTGCCGTTCCGAGTTGTCAAGGAAACCGTCAAAGTGTGCATATTTGGAACGGAGTACTACAAGAAAACTCAGGAGAGAAAAAAAGAACAGGTATGTTACATGGTGATGCCCTTCCAAAAGTTTCAATCTCATGCACATATCCAGCAGTCTTCCAGTTCAAAGATTGTGTGTAGGCAGTGTAAAGAAGATTTACTTTAAGTTACTACAAGTTTACACGAGAAATAAATTTTGGCGACTTCATTTACAGAGTTCAAGTACCACTGACTGGCAGAAGGAGGTGTACGAGAAGAAGCGGGTGAACCTCCAAGGCACAAAGAAGAAGGGGTGCGCAGCAACAATGAATTTGAAGTGGATTGAGTTGTACCCAGATTTCCAGGTATGTAATGTGCAATGACAAGTAAAAAATAATTCCATGTTAACTTCTGGGGACCTTTATCATGTCATTTATGATTATGCAATCCGACACAACACAGTTGTTTGAAGATCATTATGATTTCAAGCAGCGCAACAAGATGAGGGCAAAGTCGAGATGAGACAGAAGATAGCACTCTATATTTCCACCATTGCCAGTATGTATACACGTGGGAAATAGCAAGATAAACAGAGTGTGAAAGATAAAATGAGCACAACGCATGCAGTCTCGGCATCTAAGCCAAGACTATGTGTTTTGTACTTTGCGCTTTTATTTTGCTATTTCCACATGTATATATACTGGCAATTGTGGAAATATACTTCCAGCTATTAGTTCAGCGCTGTCTTATGTCTCATCTTGACTTCGCCCTCATCGTGTTGCACTGTTTGAAACCATAAAATATGATCTGTGTACTTAACAGTGCCTGCTTTCTAGGTGGATGTGCCCCAGCCATGCGGCCAGACAAGAGAGGGTCGTCTGAAAGCCGACAAGGCCAAGGAGCTGCAGGAGGCACTTGACGCAGAGCAGCAGACTGTGGCCAAAGAGACGCGGGTATATTTTAGGATTGCAGACTGCAGTTCCCATCAAAACCATGGTTTCGAGGACATGGAAGCTTTCAGCCAAAACATGGACAAGAGCGTTGCTGAGCGAATTCAGATGTGGGCAAGAGAAGGCATTACTTCTGTATCAGATGTGAAAAAGTGCCTTCACTATTATGTGCACGACGTACTTTTTGCGAACAAGAAGAAGCCTGATAGCAGCTGCAGGGCCTTTTTCCCAACACATCGTGACACCAGCAACCAGATCCAAGCTGTGCTTAAGAAAGACCGCTTCAGCACAGTTGATCAAGAGAATGCTAGAATCCCAATTGAAAAGATCAGGGGTGAGCAACCCGAATCCTCCGTTGTCTATCGGCCGTATGCAGCACGCAGCTTCGTGGGTAGCAGCGACTTGGATAACGTGGAAAAGGGCGTTGACAGCGAGTGTGAGGACACGTTGCTGTTTTGCTTATAAACAAAATTCATGAGGAGCATGCTTAAAAAGTACAGAGGCTCAGTAGTTTGCCTGGACGCAACGCACAAGACGAGTGACTATGCCCTACCACTTTTCTTGCTTGTCGTGAAAACACCGTCAGGATACACACCAGCTGGTGTGTTTATCATACAGTTCGAGACGGCCCACTGTATCGCTGAGGCTTTAGACGTTTTCAAGCAGTGGTGTGACAACTGGTCCCCACAATACTGGATGGTGGATTATAGCAAGGCAGAAATAAGTGCCATCAAGCAAGTGTTTCCAGAGAGTCAAATCTCCATCTGTGACTTCCATAGACTACAGGCATGGCAGAGGTGGCTGCGCAGAAAGGAAAACAACATATCCGATCCAGATGAGGCCCTGAGACTCATGAAACACGTAGCCAGTGCTTCAAATCAGCATGACTTTGACAAGGCGGTTGAAGTCCTTGTTGACTCTGAGTATTGGAAAAACGAAAGATTCCGCAGTTACTTTGAAGAAGTGTGGCTGTCAGTAAAGGAGCTGTGGGTCATGTCTTACAGGCTGGAGTTTGACGTTGTGTTGACCACAAATAACGGCATTGAGGCCCAAAAGCACATGTTGAAGGCACAGTACGTGAAAAGTTCCAGCGGGAAATGATCGTTAAGATCCCTGATCATGACTGTCGTTCATGGCTACCTTCCCGGCAAAGAAGCGAAACTCCATGAGGCAGCAAGGAGGCAGTCATCAGCGTACAGACAGTTCAGTGAAAATGTTCCTGCATACCTGCACAACCGGCCTCATGGGTTCGTTAAGCATATGCTGAGACGGCTCGTTAACGCAAAGGAATACACCCCCACAGACATGGAAGAGCTCCCCGTTGAAGGTGTGTTTACGGTTCATTCTGAAAGAAGTGATGATGATCTGTACACTGTCGACTTCACCAAGCCATCGTGTACCTGCCCTGATTTCAGGAAGCACAAGTACCCATGCAAGCACTTTTGTGTTGTTTTTAAGTAATGCGACAGGTGGGGCCTTTCCTCTCTTCCGCAAAGTTACCTCAATTGACCGCAAATTACTCTTGCAAGCTGTCCAGAATCCGAAACAAATTCCGAGATTCCCCTTGTCAATCAGCCCAGCCCTTCTGAAGTGTCTTCACAGGATCTTGGTACAGCAGCATGAGAGTCAGACATTCCCTTTCAATCAATCAATCAATGAAGCTTTATTTTCATAAATAGATATATGCAATTACAGGGATTATTTGGACCGATAGCCTAAAGTGGCTAGTGGACGGTCCAATACAATGTGCAACATAAAAAAGTGTACAGGTCAGCTTTGAGGTAACAACATAAAAAAAAACAATCATGTGATACAGATAACACAGTAATACATTTTTTCTTGCAGATATGCATACTTATTAGCTTGCAGCTAGTTTCTATACATAGGCACTTATTAAAAAAATACAATGAAAATCGAATCACACACACATGCTTACATGTCTTGACTCCACAGAAAAAATGATTTACATGCCATGCTGAAATTACGTGCCGTTTTAATCTCTTCACAAAAGCTGGTCTCCTTTGTCAAGGAGACCAGCTTTTGTGAAGTGCTTTTACAGCCTGGGGTTGCTATGCTTCCTGGGACAGCAGCCCCCTCAGTGTCGGAGCTACACAAAAGTATAACCAAGGAATTGGAAAAGTGAAGTTCCCTCCATTACGTTCAAACACTGGTGGAGGCTAGGGGCTTATTGCAAGCCACCTTCCGTAAGCTGGCTGAATCTGTGCCACAGAGTTCTGGCCTTCACATTCGGGGCTCACCGACAAAAGGATGCTCGTCTCTTAAGCCTCTTCCGAAAAGAAGACGCCTATAGTGTGCTGTAACTCTGCCATTGACTGGAGCTTTGACTGCTAGGAAAGGATCGGGGGAAACGGTAGAGATGGACCATTCGGTAATTTTTTTTTCATTCTTTCTTAAAAAATTGCAATTGTTGCAAAACTCAATTTATTTTACCATTCATAACTTTGGCCTAAACACAGTGTTCGGACATCTTTGTGAATAATTTTTAGAATGTTTAGAGCTTTTAAGATTAATATGGTATGTTTTATACTAGACTTCATTATAGTGATGCAATTGTGGCATTGGCAACGACTGTGTATGTGTGTAAATGCAGCCGTAATTTTTTGTGTTGGTGATACTCTCAATCCAGAGAGTGTGTGAAAGTAAGTTTTTAGGCTTCTGCTTTCAATCTATGTGTATAAAACTGTTTGTAAAGTTGCATTCTTTCTGTACTTGCTACGGACGTGCTTGCTTTTATACTTTCCTTTTGACATTTTAATATAGTACCTGTTGTATGTGAAAGCATGTTAGTGCATTTTTTCAGGTGGTCATTTCAAGATGTATTCATAGCGTGCTTGTAATATCCATAGACTGTAACTAAACCAAATGTGAGAGAATGCGTAATGTGCACAAAAAGTTTACTGTGAAAATGTGAGGTATGGTTACCTACACAGCAGAGCAATTTCATCAAGACTGCTGCAACAGCTGTGACCGGTTGATGTAGAGATGGGGCAAACAAACTGGCCCTTTTTTTAGGGCAACTATGGGAACTACCCCCTCAGTGAAATGCTTTAGGTATACATATTGATACTGCAAAGGAAAGTTTGACATCCACCTAAATGTGGATGTCAAACTTTCCTTTGCAGAATCTTACTCCACCTTGGGGGTTTCCCCTAAATCTGGTCCATATTGATACTACTGACTTGGGCGAGCTGCTTAATTATTCAATCTGAAAACTTTTTAAATGACACCATACGGGAATGGGGATATAAAAAGGGGTTGCATAAGGAACACGAATGCACAAGAAAATATTACCGGAAGGTGATCGTCTCAACTTAGCATTTATCAGCTAGTATTTTTGAACTAAAGTCTTTAACATGTATATTTAGTATCGTGAAACTAGAAATAGTCAACGTAGAGCTGCCTAGTTTTTGCCCGTCATGTATTCAAAACATGCAACCCAATGTATGGTGCATACTACATAGCCTTTTCATGCAAAGGAGAGAAGTCTCATTAACCCTCTTCTTTGTGCCTTGGAGGTTTGTTCACTTTTTCCATACACTCCTTCGGCCAATCAGTGGTACTTCCATGCTGTAAATGAAATAAAGAATATTTATTTCTGGTGTTTTTGCATGTTAACAGACACACAGGTCGGCTTTGATAAGTGCAAAAAAAAAGCACATGTTTTTATAGTTCACACCAGGGATGTAGCCAAGATTTTCTTTCGCTCGCAACTACTGATGGGGGGAAGGCATGGCAAAACGTCAAAGGTGGGAGAGGAGGTAGAAGAGGTCCCAGCAAAACTGAACATTTCGGTGTGCAGCAACCCCCGGCTATGTGTCTCATTCACAGTCATAATGCTATTGGGCTTTTTCTAAATGTATTCATTGGCTAGAAATACCCTAAGGGCCCAAAAGGGGCATATGTATAAGGGAAAATACATTAAATACAGCTGCTGCAAAGTATGTACCTTACACTGCCTGCACACAATCTTTGAATTGGAAGGCTACTGCATATCTGAATGAGATTGAAACGTTTGCAAGTGCATCACGATGTAACATATTTGGTCTTCTTTTTCTCCTGTGTCTTCTGCTAGTATTCCATTCCAGATATGCATACTTTAACGGTTCCCTTGAGAACTGGAAACGGCGCATTGTACAGAGGGATTCGAGATCCGCAGTGGATTACGGAGAAGATGACATTGGCTGAAAATAAACAATAAAAAGGATTTAATGAAGGCACCTAGTTTTATGCATGGCAGAGGGCAATATCAAATCTCGTTTTGGTTTTTGTGTAATAGCAGCAAAAAAAACTTTAAGATTCGCTGCCTCTGGCAAGAAATTCTGGCTGGCTTTCGTCAACCAGAATAATAAATATATAGTTATCATTACTATGAATAATTACCCAGAATTTTTTCGTATGGCGTTCAAGTTACAGCTTACAAGCAGCACCAACACGTTACAGTTTGGTTGGGCCTTGGGTTTTTAATACAACACTACAAAAAAGCTCGACGCTGACGCTTCTCATATGAGTTCAACATCAGGCCTGCCTCACTCTAACATGTAATCCACACTTTTAGCAGGACCAGGGATGGCACATACGGATGTGCCACGAATAAACCAACCACAATTCGTGTCTCGTGTTGCGCACGATTGCTTTTTTGGTGTTGAAAATAACATAAATGTTAATTCTGAAACGCACAAATGGAAACAAAGTAAACGCCCAAGCGCAGCTCTGCCTTGAATTCAAGGCAATTATCTAAAGAGCACAGGAGCAGAATAGATAAGGTATGTGACCCTATGGCAGACCTTTAATTTTTTTTAAGTCATGATTAGCTTGCATGCGCTGTTCTAATCATGACTGGAGCCCGAAACTAAAACAGTTCACTTCTAATAACGTTTCTTAAAATTTCTGAAGATCGGGTCATGTCCCGGACCCGGTACTCCAATCAAACCGAAATGAATCGGTGCCAGGGAAACTGAACCGGCAACCAGAACAATG